GAGAAGCAGCCTGGGAGAGAGATGGAGGAGGAGGCAGGACGTGGTGGTGACTCACTGGGCTTGGGGAACAGGCCTGGGAGTGAGTGAGGCTGGTGGGCCAGTGGTAACCACTGCAGGCTCTGGAAGGGAAGGGCTACATTGAGAGGAGGGAGACTAGTCTGAGGAGCCTGTGGGTTACCCCGGTGCAGCCTATCTGCCTTCTTGGTTTAGTTCACAGTGTGCTTGCGTCGGGAAGGGCAGACTGTATACCAGCAAGTCCTGTCCGTGGAGCGTCCAAGCGTCCTGCGCAGCTGGAACTGGGGCCTGTGTGGGTACTTTGCATTCTACCACGCCCTCTACCCCCGAGCGTGGACTGTCTATCAGCTTCCTGGCCAGAATGTCACCCTTACCTGCCGCCAGATCACACCTATCTTGCCCCATGACTACCAGGTGAGGCTCCCCCTCTGTGTTTCCTCCATTGCCCTCCTTTCCCAGGATCTGTCTCTGCATTTCCATGACCTGTGAGAGAGTGGTTGGAACCTTGAACATCATACTGCTTTCCCAGGACCACCACCCAGTTGGTCTTCTGTCTCCTGATAGACAGCCTGCCTGGGAATATGGGGAGATGCAAGTGAAAGACAAAAGAGAGTATACTGGGGGGTATTTGACTCTGGTCCTCGGTGCCCAGGATTGATCCTAGGGAGCAGGGCCAGGAGAGGCTACACTGAGACCACCTGAGACAGATTTCTTGCTCCCAGGACAGCAGCCTGCCTGTTGGAGTCTTTGTGTGGGATGTCCAGAATGAAGGAGATGAAGCCCTGGAGGTTTCCATCATGTTCTCCATGCGGAACGGCCTGGGGGGTGGAGATGATGCCCCAGGGGGTTTGTGGAACGAGCCCTTCTGTCTGGAGCGGGATGGGGAGACCACACAGGGGCTGCTGCTGCATCATCCAACCCTCCCAAATCCCTACACGATGGCTGTGGCCGCACGACTTACGGTACGGAGGAGCTGCCCTGTGCCTTAGCCCCCAAACCCCACCTTCAGCCTGGCTCCAGGCCCACCTCCATCCCCGTGTCTCTTCATTTCCTCCACTCCTGAGTCCCACCCTCACCACAGCCCGTAAGCCTCTGGACTGTGGGGGTGGGAGGTATAACCGAGCTGGAGAGTTAGTCAGAAGCCAGCATACCTGTGGAGCTTCCCTCACAGAGTCTTTGGCCCCTTAACAGGCAGATACCACGGTAACCCACATCACAGCCTTTGACCCTGACAGCACTGGGCAGCAGGTGTGGCAGGATCTACTTCAGGATGGACAGCTGGACTCACCTGCTGGTGATGAGGGGTCGGACAGGGAGGTGGTGGGAAGAGAGGTTGTCCCTGTCTTGGGAGCAGGGGTGGAAGGCCTGGTAATGAATGGGCCTTGTGCCCATGTTAGGGGTCCCAGGGGCTCAGGGGAGTGCCTCTGCTGATTCCTCTTGTGCTTCTCTCAGGCCCAAGCGCCCCTACACAGAAAGGAGTAGGCATTGCTGGGGCTGTGTGTGTTTCGGACAAGCTGCCACCTCGAGGCCGGTGCCGCCTGGAGTTCTCACTGGCTTGGGACATGCCCAGAATCATGTTTGGAGCTAAGGGCCAGGACTACTACAGGTGAGGGGACTGAGAGAGGACAGGGATCCAAGGTGCTGGGGCTCTGACCTGGAGCCCATGTTTTCATCCCTCCCCTTTCTTCCCACCCCAGGCGGTACACGAGGTTCTTTGGCCCCAATGGTGATGCAGCACCTGCCCTTAGCCACTATGCGCTGCGCCACTACGCAGAGTGGGAAGAGAGGATCTCAGCTTGGCAGAGCCCGGTATTGGGCGACAGGTGCCAATGGGGCCCATCTCTTGCCTTTCTCCCAGGCACTCACACTCCAACTGGGACTTCTTGATTCACTCTCCACCCACCGAAGTCAGCAGAGTTGGGCTGGGATTCACTTGGTCCCCCCAGTCTGCTGAACCCCAGAATCCTTCCTTTACTGGGAGGTCCACACTCACTAGACCGTTCCCTCCTCCTGATCCCCCAGATCCTTGCCTGCCTGGTACAAATCTGCACTGTTCAATGAACTATACTTCCTGGCCGATGGAGGCACAGTGTGGCTGGAAGTTCCTGAGGACTCCCTACCAGAGGAGCTAGCAGGGAGCATGTGTCAGCTCCACCCCATCCTACGAGAGTACGGCCGATTTGGCTACCTTGAAGGTACAGGCTGCTGGTGGGCTGAGGTTTGGCAGGCCGTATCATGAGGCGAGTTAGTGCCCTACCACAAGGCAGGATGATGGGTTTTGCCTACCCCCGGGTGCTGGTTGGGATGAGGGGGTTAGTGGCAGGTGGAGTGGTGACAGTGCCGCACCGCCAACTCTAAAGGACAAGCTAAGGAGGAGAGTATGAAGAGGAAACAGGAATCCTGTCAACAATGTGTCTCCCTCATTCCTCCAGGCCAGGAATATCGCATGTACAACACATATGATGTCCACTTTTACGCTTCCTTTGCCCTCATCATGCTCTGGCCCAAACTCGAGCTCAGCCTGCAGTATGACATGGGTGAGGGTCCCTTTTGTGCCCTTCTGTCCTCTTAGCTCCCCATACCGCTGAATGTTTGTGGTCCCTCAGACTGTCTCTTTTCCCCTTCCCCCCAACCATATCTGCATCTTGCTTACTAGTTCCCCTCTGAGGTCACACAAACAGCTCTGTGCCCCACTCCAGGCCTGCCCACCCCTCATTTGTGTGTCTGCTCCCCCAGCTCTGGCCACTCTTGGAGAGGACCTGACAAGGCGACGGTACCTGATGAGTGGAGTAATGGCACCTGTGAAAAGGAGGAACGTCATCCCCCATGATATTGGGGACCCAGGTAAAAGTCCCTCCACCTCAGGGTCAGCTTCCCTCCCTCAACTTTGCGCCCTCTACACTACCCACCAATGCAAATGAACCAGGTCTCCTCCCCTCCCACAGATGATGAGCCATGGCTCCGGGTCAATGCATATTTGATCCATGATACTGCTGACTGGAAGGACCTGAACTTGAAGTTTGTGCTGCAGATTTATCGGGATTATCACCTGACGGGTGACCAGGGCTTCCTGAGAGACATGTGGCCTGTGTGTCTGGTAAGGGGTGCATGTGCAGTGGCCAGTGTGCCAGGGGCAGGACTGGTGCTTGGGGAGAGCCCAGCTGGCTATTATTGTCTTTCCTTAGTACCTAGGTCTTCAGTATCTTGGTCCCTCTCTAGGCCGTGATGGAGTCTGAAATGAAGTTTGACAAGGACCAAGATGGACTCATTGAGAATGGAGGCTATGCAGATCAGACCTATGATGGATGGGTCACCACAGGCCCCAGGTTGGGGGGTAGGGATTTCCATGGGACCTGAGATGGGGAATTGGGCACCAAGGGACTGTGGGCTCAAGGCTTATTATATTGCATGGGAGTGGCTGGAGCTGCCAGTATGACCCCCAAACCCATGTCCCTGATCAGTGCTTACTGTGGAGGACTGTGGCTGGCAGCTGTGGCTGTGATGGTCCGGATGGCTGCTCTGTGTGGGGCACAGGACGTCCAGGATAGGTTTTCTTCCATCCTCAGCCGGGGCCAAGAAGCATATGAGAGACTGCTGTGGAACGGTGAGTTGGAGGGTCCTAAGGAGTCTTAAGGCAGCCATGGGGATGCAAGGAGCCTTACTTTGCCCTTCCTCTACTCCAGGCCGCTATTACAATTATGATTGCAGCTCTCACCCTCAGTCTCGTAGCATCATGTCTGACCAGTGTGCTGGCCAGTGGTTCCTGAGGGCCTGTGGCCTAGGAGAAGGAGACACTGAGGTGAGAGAGACTAGAAGGAGGAACCAGAGAGAAAGGTGGGTTTTCTTTGGAGGTGGGAACCAAGTATAAGAGACTTGTTTCTGTCCTTGCCCCTTCTAGGTATTTCCTATCCCACACGTAGTCCGTGCTCTCCAAACTATCTTCGAGCTCAATGTCCAGGCCTTTGCAGGAGGGGCCATGGGGGCTGTGAATGGGATGCAGCCCCATGGTGTCCCTGATAGAACCAGTGTCCAGTCTGATGAAGTCTGGGTGGGTGTGGTCTATGGACTGGCAGCCACCATGATCCAGGAGGTAATGTGCTCCCTTCCCCATCTCTCCACCATCTATACCTTGGCCCAGCAAACTTCCTCAGCTGTCACACTTCTGTACGGCCTAACCCATCCCATCTGATCCATCTAGAAAGCCTCCGCCTTTTCCCTGGCAGGCATCCCATCTCCTGCCTTCAGGATTCTCCCTGTACTAGCTAGGAGCTCCCACTAGCTAGGAGCTCCCCAAGGGCAGAGATCCTATTGTCTCCATCTCTCCAGCTGACCTGAGGTCAGGGGTTGTCAAGTAATATGACTGCCATCTCTCCCTACAGGGCCTGACTTGGGAGGGCTTCCGGACAGCGGAAGGCTGCTACCGTACCGTCTGGGAGCGCCTGGGCCTGGCCTTCCAAACTCCTGAGGCATACTGCCAGCAGCAGGTGTACCGCTCGCTGGCCTACATGCGGCCATTGAGCATCTGGGCCATGCAGCTGGCCCTGCAGCAGCAGCAGCATAAAAAAGCCTCAAAGCCAAAAGCCGAACAGGGTACAGGACTAAGCACAGGGCCTAAATTTGAACCAAAGGAAGCCATGGCAAACCTGAGCCTAGAGTGAGCTCTCTGAACTGTGGGAGGGAGGCACTAACAGTCCATTCTCCAGCCTGGCCTTCCCTCTGGCCCCCGGCCCCCCACCCCCCACCCGCACCCTCCCCAGTCTCCTGCATCCCTGAGCCACCAGGACAATCATATCCCTTTCCCTTCTCCCCACCCAACTGCGCCAGTAAAGAGGGGTTGAGGTTGACCCAGGCATCAGAATCACTTATTTATTTCTTTCCTCACTCCTTTCGCTCACTGCATGAAATGTTCAAGGAGGTCAGTTGATTCCCCCAGGCCCATTCATGGAGTGATAGACATACATGGGTACAAATAAAAGACCCAGAAAGCCAGTAAGTGTGGTGTGTTTGAGCCCTCAGGCTTCCTGACAGGGCACAGGAGCTGAGGCTAGCCCTCTCCCATTCCTTTTTATTTGGACACAGACTGGGGGCCCCAGGCTCTTGCTGAGGTCCCCCACATCCTCACATCTAGCCTAAGTATGGGCCCTGCAAGATGACAGGTGTGGGGCTGTGAGTAGGAAGTCATCCCCCCTCCTGTGCGATTTGTGTGCAGAGGAAAGATAGGACCTGGACAGGGGGACTTTGAGAAGGGGTCAGGGAGTGGCAACTTCAGGGGAGGCTCTGCGCCAAGAGCCTGAAGCACGTGGTAGAACAGGCAGCAAAAGTTGCCAGGAGCTTGGAGCACGTGGTCTGAGCTGTCCTTTGGTGCCTCTGACTGCAGGGCAGGCGGCTCCAGCTGGTGAGGGTCCTCACTGGGGAGGGCACGAAGCTGGCGAGACAACACTGAGAAGACAAAGACTCTTTAGAGGCAAGCCAGGCTTCTCCCCTAGCCCGCCCTTAATGGTATCCTCAAGCCTCTCACCTCCACGCTCAGCTGGCAGGCTCCCCCTTGTGTCAGAAGAGTACATAGCAGGTACGAGGAGGAGACAGAAGGAGAACAGTAGGACCTGGAGTACAGGAAACAGGAGGTGATGAAGGGCTCTTGATTGCATCCCTGTCCCTGCTGCCTGAGAAGAGGATCTCTCCTTCCATCAGCATCCTCACCAGAACACAGGTGCTGCTGCTGCTGGTTTTGTTTGATATCTGAATCATCATGGCCTGGAGTCTCCTCAGCTGATCCAGAAGAGACCTAGGGGAAGAGGGCAGTGAGCAGCCCCTGGCCTGGCACCCTGAGATACAGTGAAACCCTCCTGTTAAGGCCACTCCCTCTGTCTGTGCACTGGATCCTCTCTTACTTTTTGCAAATGACTTCTCTCTGTGGACAAAATGCCTGAAGTTCCTCATTAAAATATCCCTCTGCTCTGGCGTGACTTAAACTCTTTTGCACATACCTTCAGTACTTCCTACACTGCCCCATCAGCTATGCACATAATTCTCACCAGGCATTCTATGTTCTCTTCCTTCTGACTCAACTCACTCATGTTAAGAGTTCCAGTCAGACTGGACTATGCTGTGGTCTCTACCTAGAATACTCTCAACACCCCCACAAGAATCCTATCTACTATTAAATACCATCTGCCCCATGAGGTCTTTCTTACTCTTTCTCCTCTCTCTTTCTTGGTATTTATCATTAGTTACTTGTGAATTTACTCGCCATTACTGTGAGCTGCTTGGAATTAGAGACCCAGTAAGGGCCAACCACCAGACCTTGCATGTGGGAGCTGCCCAGTTAGAAATCAAGTGTGGAGCAAAGGAAAAAGTGAGACAGCGCCAAATAGGAGGGATGAGAAGGGACTGATGTTGGAGAGCTGCTTACAGATTCTGTTCCTCCAGGAGCTGTACTCTGTTCTGTAGCTCCAGATTCTGGGCTGTGTATTTCAAGACCCTAGGGGAATAACAGGGATGTGGGGATGTGGCCTGTATCCTCCCTTCAAAAACCTAACACTTGCAATACTTTTGGAAGGTATTGGAACTCCAATTCCAATACCCCACCACCGAGTCCCTCTCCCGTTTATACCTGTTCTCTAAACCCCCCACATACACCTTCTTCTTCCTGCGGCTCTCCTGAGCAGACTTTTTGTTTCGAATCTTCCTCCGTACTCGTTTCAGAACTTGTTCTTCCATCTGAGAGAAGGCAGGAAAAGTTATCATCAGAGGAACACTGGCCCAAAGAGTTGGAATGCAACTGAGTTCAATCTTCTTCCCAGTGCAGGAATCCCTTCTACAGCTTCTCTGACAAACAGGCACTTGGCTTCTGTCTGAATGCCTCCAAGGACCAGGTGTTAATACCCTCATAGGCCGGACCCTTTTAATAATTTTAATTAAAAAAAAAAAACAAAACCTTCCTTATCCTGAGTCAACATCTGCCTCTCTAATTTCTATCCTTTGGACTTACCTAGTACCTAATCTCTGGGGCCATATAGAACAAATTATCTTGAGCTATTTTAAGGCGCTTGACATTTCTTCAGAGTCAAAAAAAATCTGGGCAAAATTTTTAACTCGTCATCTTATCAGTATGGACTGCATCCGTTTAATATCTGTCAAAGATCTGGGTTCAAAACAACACTCAGATGTGCTCTGGCCAGTATAAAGAAGAGAGATAGTCACTGCCCTTCTAGAGGCAACACCTCTATTGATTACAGCCTCCAAACCCCATTCACTTTCTTAGTAGCCATATCACATTGCTGACTCATCTTGTACTTTTAAGAAATTAAAATTCTCTTAACCTTTCTGTCAGTGAATGTCGATTTCATCACAGTGTCACAATATTGTGCTTGTGAAGTTGCCATTTGTTGCTTGAAACTTAAAGCTCAGAATTTTACATTTATTCCTGTTATATTGCTTGGTCCAGCCTTGATAAACTCTCTGAAACTTAATTCTACCATTCAACAAGAGGTGGATTACCACGAAGCCAGTGAAATGTAAGTGTCAGGGCCCCTCACTTGCACAGTCCTTTCCAATGCCCTATACTAATGTTGCACTGATAATGTGGAATTCTTTTTTCTTAAAGAAAACACCAAAATTTTTATAAGCCCCACAAAACCAGGAGCAGCTCTTGCATCCAGCATATTAACTACATGCACCAGCTTCCTATTAGCAGGGGATTTGCTAAATTTCTCACCTCAGTCCTTTTTCAAGTTACTGATATAAAATTAACAGAATTGGCCTACTTGGGGCTCAACTTCCTTTGCTGCCTTGCTCCACCAATGGGAGTCTTACCTTAGTGAGAGGAAGTGTCCCAGGCAGAGTAAGCCCCTCCTTCTCCAACAGCCTCTTCTCCTCATCTGTCAGTATCAGCCTAGCAATCTCCTGGGGTTCCAGGGAGATGGCAGCAAAGTTGCAAGGCAATATCAGAGAGGAATGGGGAATCCTACCTCCACCCATGCAATGTGGGAATATTCCTCCGTAAATCAAATCAAGTACCTGCTCTGCTGGCTCCTCTACATGCAGTGGAGTCATCTGGGCCCCCTCTTTTCCATAGCTCCCGCTATCTGCAAAAGAGAAAATATGAATAGCCAAGCCCATCAGTCCTCTCCTCTCCCAAAACTTCTCTTACTTCAGACTCACCTAGATCTATGGAAATACGTTCCTGTGGTACAGAGTAGGTGTGATCATGGTGGACAGGACAGGAGTTAGAAGAGTTGAGAACGTTCAACGACGCCGGGGGACTCAGCAGAGAGCTCAGGAAATCCTCGGCCTCCCAATCCCTCAGTACCTGCACAGGGTTCAAATTAACAGGCCTTGACCTATCACCACCCGCTGCCTCAAGGACGCCCCCCCCCCGCCCCGCGCCTCCCCGATTCGGAGCCCGTACCCACCTCAGAAAGCGGCAGCTCCCAGTCTAGCGGAGCCTCCACGGCCTCGTGGATCGCCGCCCCCAAATCTCCGCTTTCCTCTAGCAGGAAGTCCAGCAGGTCTTGGTCACCCGGGTCCGACGGCAGCTCCATATGGGACATCTACGGAAAGGATGCGTAGAAACACAGGGGTTCGCCCCTCCACCTGGCCCCAACCCCGAACCCCATGCAAGACACTCCCCTAACGTCAGTCCGTCTTCAACCGGGCTTGCCCCGGAGCTGCTAGCCGACGCTCTCAAAGTGGACACGCCTCCTGAACTCAAGTCTCCCCGGCTTCCAACACAACGGAAGTGACGCCCATGCCCCCAAGGCATTCTGGGACACGGAGTTCCCCTAGTGCGGAAGTGGCGCCACGTCCCGGGAGCTATGCAAATCGAGGGGGCGGGCATTCTGCTGCCTCCTCACAGCCTGAGGGCGGGCATTCTGGGATCCGGATCCGCCTTCGCCCCAAGCTAGAAAAAGGAAGGATTCGAGCCTAAAGGGGAACTGGGGCGTCTTCTCCGGATCGCGCCGCAGCCTTGCTTCCTGCCAGGGAGGGCCTGCGGGTCTTCGGAGGGTTCCCGAGCATCGAGAGCTGGGGCCAGAGCAGCTTCCTGCAGTCCCCGAAACCATAGAGCGCGGGCACAGGGCGCCGCCCGCGGGTGGGGGACGCTCCGGGGACGGAAGTGGCCGCCAGAGTGTCGAAGGGAGGGCGAGGCCGGAGCCCGAGAGCCACCGGGAGGACGAGCGAGCCGGGTAGCGGGCCGGCGGGCGGGGCACAGAGCCGGGCAGCGCAGGTAGGCCGGACTGGGCCCAGCCGGAACCTCAGGATGGGGCCGGGAGGCGGGCGGGCGGGGCCCCGACTCTCCTGCGTCTCCTCCTGCGGGTCCTGTTGGAGAGGTCAGCGGCCAGTGTATCTCGGTTTGGGCTCGGAGTTAAGTAGGCCGTTTTGCGGGAGCCAGCCCCCTCCTGGGAGCAGTCCTCGGCCTGGGATAGGTTTTGGGGAGGGCGAGGAGTGGGGTGGTAGTGAGGCGCAGGGCGGGGATCGGCTTTGAGGATCAGCGGGTATGTGGATAGGAAAGCTTTGGGTGAGTTTGGGATTAGGTGGAGTTCGGTTTAGGACTCAAGGTTAGTTTTAGGAGGTATGAAACCGGGGTTAAAATTTAGTGTTATTAGTGTGAGTCAGGTCCGTTTTATGTAGGTGAAGTTTGGATTACGGTCATTATTTTGTGTTTTAGGGTGGCCAAGATAAGTCAAAGTTACGGTTCAGGGTCAGGTTAGAGGTCAATAACAGGAATTAGGTTGGAAGTCTAGTTTTAGGGATAAGAGAACGTTGGCATAGTCAGTATTAGGGATAAAAAGTGAAGAGGTGGGTCAGGAATCAAGTGGCAAATGAGCTTTAGACCTAGGGGTCAACATTTAGGGTTAAGGTCAGGGGCTTTGGTGCTTTTTAGCACCATTTAAAGGTAAATATTAGAAATCAGGGATTGGATACAGGTGTCTGCTAGGAAAGGGGTGAATGTCAAAGCCAGTACTGGGAAACAGGAAACACATTAGGGTTGGGGTTAGTGTTAGGAATTAGGGGCAGTTTTAGGGGTTGTGGTTGAGGTCAGGATAGTGGATCTCGGGCATGTGAAATTTAAGATTAGTGGTAGGTAGAGGCCCTGTTTTGCGAGGAGGTCTTTCATTTCTGTGTAGTCGCAGGTGCTTCTTTGGCCCAGAGAAATGACAGACTATTTTCAGGCTAGGGTTCTGGGTTTCAGCTAGAATTGCAGGCATCTGGGACTCCAGCTGCTTTATTCTACTCTCTAAGCCCAAGGCTCTTGCTGTGGCCACAACAGTTGAGGGGCAGAGGTTCGTGGACTATGTTGTTTACAAGATAGGAGGTGGGAAAGGGACAGGGACCCAGGAGATGTATAAGGCCTAGTCCTGAGTGGGGGACTGCCTAGAGGAAAGGGGACTGGTGACTAAGGGGGAAGCAGACCAAGGAAACACTGTTGCCACAGGAGCGGGGGATGACTGATCCTCTGAAAGTTCAGCCCCATTGCCTCCCATTCTCCTCATTCTCTAGATGTTAAGCTCTCCACTCCAGCTCTCCTCCCTGGCCCTGCATTTCACACCCTTCTTGCATACCCCCTTACAGAATGCTTCCCTTGTCTTTAACTCTCTCATGTTCTTCATTTTGCCATGTGTTCCCAGCCTCAGTTTTGCCTCTCTTCCCACCCCTTAATCCACACACATCCTACCTTAATTTACTGTCGCCCAACTCTGAGCTTTCCCATCATCTTAAAGCACTCTCCCGCCATTTTCACCCACTCATCTACCTGAGTACCTCCTGATCATCTGCTGAATACTCCAGCCCCAGCCCAACACAACTGCCAAGTACTTCCGATGCCTGCTGTGTTCCATCCCTGATTCTAAGCCTTAATTTCTTGGTCCACTTGTAGATCCCCTTCCCCCACTCCCCTGACAGAAAAGAGGAAATGAGACCCAAAGAGGAAACTGGGTCTTGCTGATCCCACGCCCAGCCAGGCCACTGACCACACCCCCATTTCACTCCCAGCCTGACCCTGCCACTGACCACAGCACTATCCCCTACCCAGCCTGACCCAGCCACTGGCTGCACCCCATGCACCACCCCCAACTCCAGCTTTACTTAGACACTGCTGGTGTCCCTTCACTCTTTGCCCATCCCATCCTAATTTAGCCACTGACCACAGCCCCCTCTCTTCTCAGTCTCGTAGCCTGACCTGGCTTCTGACCTCACTGCATCATTCCCTGACTTAGCCACTGTCCACATAATTATTCTTCCGCTTCCCCCAGCCTGATCTAGTGACTGATCATATATGTATTTTTCCTACCATCTTCCCCAGCCTTTCTCTACCCCTCGTCTTCCCCATTTCCAGCCCAGTGCAGTCACTGACCTCATCCCTTCTGCCCCTCTACCAGGTACTAACCACATCCCATCCCCTTTTTCCCTCGGCCTAACCACATCTCCTAACCACAGCCTCATCTTCACATTCCCAGCTCGTCCTTATACTTTCTTTCCCCCCTTCCCAATTCCTGACCTAAACTCAAGCTGCCCAGCCACTGAGTGACTGCTGATGACAGGAAGCTATGGGACCCCAGCCTGACTTTGGGCCCTGGTCCCTGAGGGTTGACAGGACAGACTGTCATCAGTTCCTATCAGTTCTACCTCTTAAAATTTCTGATGAGTGACATCCTCTCCACCCTTCTAACTCTGGTATCATTACCCCTCACTTCTGCTAATGCAGTATCCTTCTAACCAATCTCCAAGGTAACTGCCAGAGTTATTTTCCTAAAATCTGGTTCTGGTTATGTCCCTTCTCTGCTGAAAGCCTCCCTTGGCCTCCTGTTGCCCCCTAGTAGGTATCATTCCTCATACTCTCCCTAGTTCTCACCAGCCTTTCCATCCTCATCCTAACTTCCCCATCACTGCTCCCTTGCAGGTATGCTGCGCTTCAACCAGCCTGCCTCTCACTTCCCTGAATGCTCCTCCACGATTGATTTCCTGCTTCTCCACCTTTGCTTATGCTATTCTCTCTGCCTGGAATGCTACCCCTGACTCAGCTCCAGCTGAGTGGAGAGAGCTTGGGCTTTGGAGTCAGAGAGACCTGGGTTCGGATCCTGTCTTCACACCTCATTAGCTGTGTGACTTTGGACAAGCACCTTGAACAAGTGTTTAACTTCTTTGAGCCTCAGTTTCCTTATCTGTAAAAATGGAGATAATGACACCTACCTTGCAGGGTTGTTGTAAGGATTAAATGAAATTATGTATACAAAGCAATTGACATATAGTCAATAAAAGATTGTTAGTATTTCTTATTATCTTTACTTTTTAAAATCCTAACTTCAAATGACACTTTTCATGGAGACTTTTTGGTCCCCTTTTCATCTAAAGGGATCTCTCCCCTGAGCACACACCTCTTGGCTCTTACCACATCCTGCCCTCTTTTACGACTGTATTTAGTTTATCCGCTCAGCTGACTGGGAGCCCCTTGAGGACAAAGGTAGGGCTTACTTTTCTTGGTTCCCAGCCACTCAGAGTTTGGCTGGGGGCCTTCCCCACAACAGACCCTCAGAAATGCTTGCTGGATGAATGGAGGGAGAATGTCCACATAATAGGAGGAGAGATGTTGGGGCGAGTTGTGTGCTTGCTGATAGAGGTGTATTTATGGGGAAGGTGTGGGCATGGGATGGCGTCTTTACAGGAAGATAACGTGGTTGTGATGGGATCTGTGTAGGGGCTGCATGTTTGAGATAACATATATAGAGACAGTGTAAGTAGCTTAGTAGGAAAGAGCTCTGTGCGTAGGCTGGGGTGCATTTGGAGAGAATAAATATGCATGGATTGGGTGGAGGTGGGGAGGGGCTGTGTTGGGGGAGGTCAGGTCCAGCCTTTCAGCTGCCCAGTCCAGCCCTAAATGAGCCTCCAGCAGCCTGAGGCCGGATATGTCAGTCTCACCCACAACCCTCCCCCCGCTCCCCGCGGTTGCAGACTCAGAGGCCAAATTTGGTAACAGACTGAGTGTTGCTCCCCCAACCCTCTTACATTCTGACTCTGTCTTCAGCTTTCTCTCTCCCTTTGTCCCTCTCTGTAACTCCTGTCTTTCTGCAGCTCCTTTGTGGGTATCTGCTCTAACTGTATTCTCTGTGTACCCCAAATTTCTTACCCCCAGTACACTTAACATTCCATTCCTTGCTGGGATTTGACCTGCTGTCCTCCATTCCCCCCCACCCCCAATTGCCCAACTTCTCTGGAATGCATCTCAGGAATGTCTTGAGGGAGGAGGAGTTCCCTGGGAGGGGAACCTGGGGGGGCATTGTTGCTGTTCCATAAAACATGATGGAAAGGGGAGCAAAGTTCTCAGGCGAGAGCAGGAACTGAATAGCTTCTCCCATACTTCCAGGGCCCTTGTTTTATGCCTTCATCACCTCAAATTCACTCCTTAATTCTCTTTCCTCCCTCACCCTCTTGTAGCTCTGTGGAAGTCCACCGAGCTGGGAGTAAGGGTAGGCATGACTCATCTCCCTTATCGGGGTCTCACCAGAGGTTTCCGTGCTTGAGGAGGAAGGGGGTGTCCATATGTCTGGAGGAAATGGGGGGAGATGTGCAGTTTCAGCTGAGGGTGGGGGGTCCTTTCAGTCCTGCCCTCAGCTCCTCTGACTCCTCCAGCTTTGTTGACCCTCCAGCCCTCCAGCAACTCCACAGCCAGGTCTGTGCACCTGCTAGGAGAGGTGCCTGAGGAATAGGGAGGTGGGCAGAGAGCTGGAACTGGGGAGACTAGGAGGGTCCTCTCTTGTTTGGGAGTAAAGAAAGAGCGAGCTGTGGTTTCTTCTC